GCCCCTTCACGTATTGGGTGAGAAGTTTCAGGCATCGATCGACACGGGATCAGTGAGAATCATTGTCCCAGTGCAGATATTGGCCAAAATCCATGACAGAGGGTTTGACCTGGATTCCTTGATAATGGTGCCTAAGTCCAAGCTTAAGCCAGTTTTCGATGCATCGGATAATAAGGATGGATTTCCTTGCGGCTGTATACATACCAGTCAAATTAGAGCAAGGAGCGACTAAGGAGGTGGCGTTCCATATTAGTCCAAAGAAGGAAACTGAGACAATACTGGGAACCAATGCGCTCGCTCGGTATAAACATTGCCATTGAGAAAGAAAGGGTTATATCACCCAAAGAAGCAAAGCAAAATAATGTTATGGTAGTAGAAAGACGCTATGTCCCACCTGGAGATACGGCACTACTAGAAGTGGTATGTCGGGGGAAAGAGATGGCGAAGTGGAAAGGGTAATACGGCCATGTAAGCAAGGCGTAGCTGCGGGAGTTTTCACCATTAAGGACCAGAGAACAACAATTCCCGTAGTTAGCAAGAGTTCTAAACCCTTACTCCTCAAAGAGGGTGAAGATATTGGACATTGGGGTACGGACAAGTGGCTTGAACGATGGGAAGATGCAAACCCGCTAATGGTGAACGAGAAAGAAGCGAAGCTCACGGCATCTGAGAGAGAGTGTTTGTTGGAAGAATTGATAGCTAGTAACATGGAGTCAGGGACTGTAGATGAAGATCTTAAGAAGTTGTTAGAAGAGTATGCAGAAGCATTTGCTGTATCAAACTAGGAATTCGGTCAAACGGACTTGGTGCATATGACTATAGTTACGGGAGACACCCCCCAATAAAAATGAAAGCAAGACCGGTTCCACTAGGGGTAAGGCCCAAGTTGAGAGAGTTGTTGATGGACTTGATGAAAAGGAACGTGATAGAACCAAGTAAGTCGGACTGGGCATTTCCGATTGTTCTAGTTGAAAAGAAAGACAGCAGTGTTCGGTTATGTGTCGACTATAGAGAACTGAACAAAGAATTAAGCTAGACGCGTATCCTCTTCCGAACATAGAGGCGGTCTTGCAGAGTCTTTCGGGAAAGCAGTATTTCTCGACATTAGATCTTTGCAGCGGGTATTGGCAGATCTCCCTGGCAGAGGAAGCGAAGGAGAAGTCTGCTTTTGCAACGCCGGAAGGGTTGTTTCAGTTCAAGGTAACACCGTTTGGTCTGAGTACGAGTCCTCCAGTCTTTCAGCGGTTGATGGACTCGGTTTTGGGAGATCTTTGGATGCAGAAGTGTTCTGCTACATCGACGACATCATGATCTGTACAAGCACGAATTATCGTCACTTGGAGCTGTTAAGGCAAGTGTTCGCGCGTATGAAAGAGGCGGGGCTGCGACTGGCCCAAGTGTTATCTGCTGAAAAAGCGGGTGTAATTTCTTGGACATGTCGTGGATGAAGAAGGGGTCCATGTGGATCCAGACAAGGTATCAGCGATTCGCGACTATCCGACTCCGAAGAGTGTGAAAGAGCTCAGGAACGTTCCTCGGCATGGCATCCTTCTACAGGAAATTTTGCTTGGGATTCTCCAAGCAAGCGGGATGTATTTTTAGTCTGACGTCGGGCAAAGCAAAATGGAATTGGCAAAGGGAGCATGAAATGGCATACCAGAAGATGAAGGACCTGATAAGTACGGCACCGGTATTGAAGCAGCCGAACATAGAAGCGGCTCGGATAGGGAGTGAACCATTCATTGTTTGCACAGACGCGTCGACGCACGGGTTAGGTGCAGTATTGTCGCAAGAGGGAGAGGACAAGCTGGTCCACCCTATATTTTTCGCATCCAAAAGCCTAAGCAAGGCAGAACGAAGATATCACATAACGGATCTCGAGGCGCTCGCCGTGGTATTTGCCGTTAGGAGGTTCCACATGTTTATTTACGGCCTTCAAACCATCGTAATCACAGACCATCAGCCTCAGCGTTGTTTAAGCGCAGTAACGTATTGGCTAGGGTGCTGAGATGGTCCCTGGAGTTACAGAGGTGCAAGTTAGAAATTCAGTATGTGAAGGTGAAAGCGAATGTGGTGGCCGACGCCCTTAGTAGAGGAGTACCTATTTCCGTAGAGCCAGACGCCCTTCCAGGGTTGAATGAGGCGGTAGTAAATAGGGTGAGTACGAAGCAAGACTCGAAGTGGCTGGCGCAGTTGAAAGAAGACACCCAGCTAGGCGAAGTTGTGCGATTAGTAGAGGAAGAGAAGTGGGATGAAGTGGTGCGGCTTGCAGGTGAAAAGCAACCAATGAGGGTAGCCGATTTTGTTTTGGAAGAGGGAGAGCTGAAATTATACCGAGATGATGGTAGGCAGGTCTACGTGGTCCCTAAAGCCTATCGGTATGAAGTGTTCCATGAGGCGCACGACGCTGGAATCCATGTGCTAGAGTTGGGCCCTACAACTAAAGGGAATAGGTATGCGGTCACCATTATAGACCATTTCTCGAAGTATGCGGCTGCTTACCCTGTACCGAACAAGTCGGCGGAGACTATCGCAAGAACCTTTTTTACCAGATGGATAGCGGACGGGTGTCGTTGGCCCAGGAAAATACTATCCGACAGGGGTGGTGAGTTCGTGAACCAGGTAATGCAGGAAATTGCGAGGATCACGAAGATTGAGCATATAACGACGAAAGGGTATAACCTGCGAGAAAACGGCCTGACAGAAAGGTTTAATGGGACCATCGTTGCCATGTTGAGGAAATCCACTGTAATCCCTGCGGAGTGGGATACTAGATTGCCATTCTGTATGATGGCTTACAATATGACTGCCACACCGGGCGACGGGGGAAAGCCCCTACTTCCTGCTCCACGGAATAGATCCACTTTTCCCGTCAGACGTG